TTGAGAGCATAGGAGGTCCCCCACCCCCATTCCCCTCTTCTAGCGCCTCCTACTCCCAAGCTGTTGTTGAGGGGATGGTGGTCTCTGTGCCCCTCAAGTTGAGGCCCTCTGGGGGAGGGGTTGTGAATCTGAAATATGTTTCCTAGGAGAGGGAGCAGAGGAGACATCTAAGCCAGCGTTGGAAAGGTTTCACACGGGGCCCGGTGTGAAGTGCAGACACAGAGAGCATAAGTGCTAGCCTGTTGGGACAAATGAGCGAAATCTCAGAGGGTGGCGATGACAGCTCACTCGCAGCCATACTCGGGGTTGTACATTCTCAGCTGAGAACAAGAAAGAATTTTGTTGTCATTACCTGCTGTCAGATTGTCTCCCAACTCATCACAGCCCTGCGTGCCACAGAACCAAACGACCCCCACCTGTCCTGCACCATCGACATGACCAGCTGCAGATTGTACCGCTGTGATCAGAGCCTTTTTCTTGGCTAATTTTCAGAAGTGGATCACCAGGTCTTTCTTCAACACCTTACAGTATATAGAAAGGCAGTGGTTGTGTGTAAGAGTACCAAGGATCAGATCCCACGCTTCTGCTTGGAAATAGAGAATTCGCACTAGGCCCTCAAAGGATCCTGGGAGGCATCTTGCCCAGCAACCACATTTTCTTCATGAGAAAGTGAAAAAGAATGACTGCCTAGTAGTTAGTTATTTTGGCCAAGGCCCAGCAGCTGACTAGCAAGCCTGGTCTGGTGGTTTTCCTACTGATCCACACTGTCTAGGGGAAGCCCTTGGTCCGCATGGCTGCCATTGTAGCTGGGCGTTCAGCAGTGTTACCAGTCAACCCAAGTTCCTGTGGCCTAGGTTCTACCCAAGGGTGGAAAGCACAGAAGAAAATCCCTCACCACACTCTGCCTTGGATGGGGACGTGCTGAGGGGGAGCCCCACCTAGTGACATCCCCTCTTTCTGAGTATGCCAACCAGTGGCCTGGCAGTGTGAGGACACAGAGCCAGACCCAGAGACCCTCAGGCCTCACTCCGACTTCCTCCATCAGCTAAGACTGTGCGTGCTCCTTTGAAGCCTTCAGCGCCCCCCCTTATCTGAGCTCCCCAGAGACAACAGCTGTGTGCATCTGTTTCACTTGTGTTCATGGCCATTTTCTCGGACTCCTCCCCCTCTCCCCTCTCTCCAGACAAATGGCTTTGAGAGGTCGCAGCCAGGGAGAGAATTTGGCTCCATTGACCCATATACTTTGGCAAAAATGCTTCAGTCAAGGTCAGAGGACCTAGCTAGCCAAGCTGGCTCCACCCCAGATTAGAACAGAACCCCTTCTCTACAGGTTAGCACTTATGCTCAGAGCCCTCTTTAGGTTTGTCACTGTGAGTCTGGAGCTCTGGAAATAGCACATACAAGGGCAGGAGGCCCCTCTGCTTTCTGGCACCAGCTTACTATGTGACCCTAAGCTAGAGTCTCTGTCTCTCCCTTTCTCCTGTCAAGGAGAACAGTTTTTCTGTCTCTATGAACTATCGAAAATGTGAATAAGTCACTTTGGGCCTGTTTTCTTTCTTCTTTACCTGGGGCTGGGTCTGAGGAAGAATTTTAACGTCCTGGGTCGTTGACCTTCCTAGGGGACCATTGTTCTAAGAGTCACTTTCCCCCCAGGTACAGGGCTAGAGTCGAAAGACTGATTTCCCCAGTTCAAGGGCCCTCTCTGTCTTCCCAGCTCCGCTCAGGGCTGGCTACTGTGTTTGTTTTTTTTCTGTAGGGTGCCCCATCCTGGTCACAGTCCTTTTTCTTCGTGGGGAGCACTAAGCGTGAACTGTTTGTCAATCCCTTTGCAGCACAAGTTCACGTTCTAGCCAGCTGCTGGGGAGCCAGGGCAGGGGGTGTCTGTGCCTGGAACAGGAAGGGGGCTCAGGTGGCAGCAGCCACCTCCTGCTCCAGCAGCCCTGACCCAAGGGGCATTTGGAGCCTGACTCAAAGCCGCCGGCTCCTCTGAGAACGGGACCAGTTCCTCCTCTTCGTGTTTCAAATCTCACTTCCTCTTTTGCCTGGGACTTCTGATTCTGTTCCCAGAATCCTGTTGCTGGGTTACAGACCATTGGCTTGGAGTCATTGCCTTAAGATCCCAGAAGTTGTGTTTGTTTCTTTCAGTTAAGAGACAGACCCACCCTGCCTGGAGTGAGACCGCTCTGTGCAGAGGGAAGACATGGGTGGCACGCTCGCTATCAGCCTGGGACAGATATTGGCAGGAACATCATCAGTGCTGCCACAGCTGCCACCTCCTCGCTTACTGGTCCTTTTGCCACCCGGAGCAGCAGTTAGCTGGCTTGAGTTCAACAGAACCTACTAGCTCAGACGCCCAGTCCCTGCGACTCACCCTAGACTTACGGCGCCTTGTTACCTGCACTGATGGCCACACCTCTTTTCTGGCCTCAGTAAAGTGTACTTGTCTCTCTTTTCCCTTCTAGACTTTGGGATCCAGGGAGTAGGGATGGTTTGCTCATTTCTGATTCTCAGTGCCTGCCCTGTGGCGGGGTTGTGTGGGTGGGGTGTTTGTTGACTGTTCACTGAAGGGTGACTGCACGTCCACCCTGCAGGGTAAGGGCATGGTCCCCTCCCTCCCTCCCTCATGGACGATGCTCTCTCAACCTGTGGTACCACTTCAGCTCCTGAAGAATTCTGGGTGCCGAGTGAGGTTGTTCACAGCTTTAGTCTGCTTAGCTCCATGGTCAACACTTTTGGCACCAGCAGCCAGGAAATTAAAAGACGTATTGTGATGGGAAAATCTGCTGTTAGGGACCTCTCCAAAGTATTGAAGAGCAGTGGTGTCTCTCTAGAGACTAAGGTGCATCTGATACAGGCCATTGTCTTTGCAATCACTTGTTATACATCAGAGAGCTGGGCAATGATTAGGGAGGATAGAAGGAGAATTGATGCCTTTGAGCTGTGGTGCTGGAGAAGAGTATTGAGAGTACCATGGACTGCTAAGAAAACAGATTCATCTTGGAGAGGGTTAAAGCGGGCTGCTTCTTGGTGGCAAGTATTCTGAGGCTTCGTCTGATATACTTTGGACATGTTGTAAGGAAGGATCGGTCTTTGGAGAGGGACATCATGCTTGGGAGGGTGGAGGGACAGTGTAGGCGGGGAAGACCCTCTATGAGGTGGATTGATTGGAGCAATCGGGAGGGGAGTGTCAGAGACAGTGCGATTGGCACAGGACAGAGCAGAGTTTAGGGCTGTTGTACATAGGGTCACTATGAGTCGTACGCTACTCGACGGCACAGAACAACAACAGCATGTACCCCTGGGACCTGGCAGCCCTGCCCCAAGCCACGCCAGCCAGAATGGCAGCCATGCCTCCAGCCTCTCCTTCAAGCCTCATGTCATGAGTCAAGTTCATGGCACCAGGATGTTTTCTTTTTGCTGCAGCACAAGTCCCAGGTGGTTTGAGGAATTGAATCTGTGTCACCCAAGTCTTCCCCAGGCTGATCCTGGTCGCTGGTGAGGCATCATCTTCGGCAAGTCCACTCTCCCATCCAGGACTCCTGCCTTGGTGTCCCCGAGTCCTTTGGAACTGCCCAGACTCCCTGTAGTACCGCTTCAGATAACCTCACTCTGAGTCAGAAACCATGAGGAAATAGCAAGGCATTGAGCCTGGGGAAAAAATCCCTCCTGGGCAGAATCCCTCCAGAGCACCCTCCTACTAGCTGACACTACTACCCATCAGTTGAAGGGACCCTTTTTTCCTTCCACTTCCCACCAGCTGGCACCTACCAACGGAGTGGACCCTTCCTGCCACCTGGTACATTAGGAAACAGCCCCATTGCCTCTCTTTCCTTCTCCACCTCCCCCAACAGCTATAAGGCTTCAGTAATTAAGGAGTCAGGTCCTCTCCATATGTACAGCAACCAAAAAGTAGAAACACCAAAGATGAGAATGAAACCTCCACATCTCTCTGAAAAG